AATGAAAAGTCAAAACAGGCCGCAGGTCCGGATATAAATGGTTTGTTGTTCACACACTCACATACACTAACGCACACATACAGCTATAGCCATATCCAGAGGCACACTCATCATGACGCTTAACGCTTGGCTCAGTCTCATACCCAGTCAGCCATTACGAAGCCCATTTTGTTAGTAGCCCGCCGCAAGCGACTAACTACCAAAAGTGCCTCACAGTTAGCGCTTACAGCGGCCATAATGTACTCACACCCGTGCTCATACATACAGCACATGCACAAGCTCAGAGAGAAAGAGCCAAAAAAGAGGCAGAGAGCAGAGAGAGACTGCAGCGCCCCCGCTTACCGCCGCCCTCACCCGCCCTTCAAAGACCAGAGCCAGACGTGAGGTCGTGAGTCACCTGAGCGTAACGTAAGCGCAGCTTATTGTTTGCTCATGTTCCTCGCGTCTGTTAGTTGTGCTCGTTATTATTTTGGCACTCACTCGCTCATTTTGTAAGGCTGTCGCTCTTGTGGCTCTTTCAATGCAGTTGCTGTTGTTGTGGTGAGCAGCTGTTTTCGGCTGCCTTATAAATTTGTTGCTATTGTGATCGCCTTTTTGACAGTGACTGCTTGAGTATGAGTTTCTTTCATTACGGTGTGTGCATGTGTGTACATGTCGTTTGCATACAAATTTACACCTTGATTTCATGGCAGTGTGTAGTTTCCTATTCATGTGTATTCAGTATTTTCTGGTTTGCCTCTTTCTTTTTTTATTTTTTGCAATTACTCAATTTGACAATGGAAACTAACAAAACTATCCACAAACTGCTGCACTGCAGATGTTTTCAGAGGTACTTGAGGTGTGTTAATTACATCATAGTAATCTCGATGAGTAAAGTCTTCTAATTGTTTTTTTTTTTAATTTCAATTAGTCTTTGTCCCACTGTGCTGCCTTCCAGTCACAGCATGTACGTCAATGCGCATTTATTGAGCTGCAGGTGTATTGTATGTTCAGAGTACGCTTGTGTGTGTGTTAGTTGACTATTCTGCAAGTGTTTTGCTTACGATCTGCCAATTGTTTTCGGTAGATCAAATCGAAAAGAACAGCTTAACACACAGCCAGAACAGCAGTCACAACAATAACTGGCACACAAACTTGCCTATTAGCAAATACAGCACACATACACATACCCACAGACACACTTCCATGCACACACATATGTATATATATATATATATATACACACACCGACACACCATTTATTCACTCTCTCGCACACACCAATAGAAGTGGAAACGGGCCGTCGATTTACGGCTTGGAAGCTCGCGCGCCTCTGTCGGCCAATTTAGTCTCTCTCAAAGTTTCGTCGAAGCAGGCAGCACAGGCCACAGAGAAACCGTGCGCGCGCTTTTCTGTTAAAAACGACGTCGACGTCGCAGTCGCTGCCCGCCCGATCGTGCGTTTTGTTGTTAATATATAAACTTGGCTCAGTCTGGGAGTGAGTTGCTGCTCATACTTTGTTGTTGGCATCCATTATTTTTTTTGAATATGGATTCGTTAATTGTTGTTTCTTTTGCCACTTTGCATACGCAAAACAAGCAACGAAATTTGGAAATTGAATAACAAATTTTGCAGCGCGCCAATTGATTTGCAAACAAAAGCTTGCGTATGTGTGAGTGAGTGTGAGTGTTAAAAAATATGAAAAAATGAAAATTAAATTTAAGAGTCTAAATTGCAAAACACACACAAACATCTATGTGTATGTTTGTGTGTATAAATCATACAATTCACGACTTGCCAGCGCGTGTGTCTTCTTCGCCTTGTTGTTGTTGTTGCTTTGTTTTTTTGTTGTAATTGCCAATTTGTTTGTTGTGACTGCTGTCATGCCAGGGCCGGTTTATTAATTTGACATCGTCGTGTTCCCCTGCCACAGAAAATAATAACAATAACAACAGCGAGAACAGCCGCAGCAGCAGCAACTACAAAAAGCTAAAAACCACCAAATAAAATCAAACGGAAATCATGAAAAAAAAAACAAAAAGCAGCCATTGCATACAATTTTTGTAATGTAAAAAATAAAATATAATTAAAGAGAAAATCGCCTTTCTCTGCGCGCGTATCACAAAAACAATAGTGCCGCCAACAACAAAAAACAGGCGTCGACAGCGGGAACAGCCGCAGCAGCGGCAGCAGCAGCAGAAGCAAAAGCCACGGCCACTGCCCCGTTACGTTTCGGCAAACACAACCAAAACGTCCCACTGTCGGTCTCTTTCAGTTCATGTCTGTGTTTGTGTGTGTGTATGCACGGGGTGTGTGTATGTGGACTCGACTGGAAATTTCTGTTACATATGTATAATTGAAACTGTAGGCAATCGCTGAGAGCTTAAACTACTGCTCATAGAGATATGCACTAGAGAATCTACAGCCCTCGCCTGAAAAAAGAGCTCAATTAAAATAACTGTAAACCGTCGCACCGTAACTGCGACCCAAAAGTCCTTCTGTTAAGCTCAGATCGTAATACTGCAGCTTAAAGCTTTATGTGATGGTATTTACTTGACGGTAAAGCATTGAGGAGCATAAAAGCTTAACAGCTGATTCTACGCAGCTGCATCTGGGAGCTGCAGTCGCAGAGAAAGCAAAAGATTCAAGTCACTTTTAACGGTTGCTACGCTCAAAATTGTCTCGCTCTGTCACGAATCGTACAAGGCGCAGTCGTTGCGCGATCTGCTGCGCTGCGTCTCTGCTGCTTGGTACGTTGCTTGTGTAACAATCGCTGGCCAACCAATTACGCTGCGTCGCAGTCGCGTTGTGCAGTTAGCGTTGTTGCATATTGTGTTTCCACTTCCTCTTCCGCTCATTTTGAGCCGCCCGATTGCAGTTGAAACGCAAAGACAAAGGCAAAGGCAAAGGCAAACGCAAACGCATTCCATTTGTTAGACAGAGACCGCGTGTAAGAGAAAGAGTGTAAGCGAAAGAGAGTTGGATTATGTGCGCCGTTACTAATGACACAAAGTGAATTCAGTACCGAACACCGCTGTTTCTGCTGCTGTTGCTATTGTGAACTGCTACTGCGCAGCCCAACTGAGCAGCCAGCTGCACTTTAACTGCTACCTTTTTCTCTCTCTCTCCCTTTCGCTCTGGGCGCCTGAGTGTATGTGTGTTTATGTTTGTGTGTAATAATTATAAATTTAATAATTATACAACAAAACAACTTGGAACTGATTGCAACTGCAATTGTTGTCGCTGTCGTGGTTGTTGCTGCTGCTGCAGCTGATGCTGTTGCTCGTGCATTGGAACACCTGTAAAACAAAGGCCGCTCTATCTACAACAATTATAATAACAACAACAACTAGTTGCCATTGTCGTGCGCAGTGGCGGATGCAAGTAGAGCTTAAGCATAACATAAATTAAAACCAACGCCGAATGCTAAAAACTAAGCCAATTTTCTGCTAAATTTAAAACTCGTTCAACAAAATTCCAATTACAAAATGCAGATTGAGAGACTTGCAATAAATGTTGTTTTTAGAATACGTTTGGCACAGCAACGAGATCAAGTTAGAAAACGACAACAACTTTGCGACTGTTGTTAAATAAGAAAACATATTTAGAAGCTTGGTTAGTTTTTACGAGTGGGTTTTTCGGGGCAGCATTCTCACAGATCTCAGTGTAGACTTGACTTGACTCGAGAATTCTACTCAGAACAGTTGTGTTGTAGGCGACTTGTTTTGGCCAATAGCGCCATGACTTGTTGTGGAATCCAAGGCAAGGCTAACAGACAACAAAGGGGAGGGGAATAGGGGGTTGTTTGTGGGCTGGGCTGGATTATCGAAACAGCGAAATTCGTTGGCCTAAACAGCTTTTTCATGTCAAATCATGTGTGTGAATGTATTTGTGTGTCTTTCTGAGTAACAACAAATGACGAAACAATCACCGCTATGACAGGCATTAGGGACAGCATGAACAACATTTGACCAGAATTGTAACGAATCAGATACTTTTGTTGATGACGATGAAGACATCAGCGATCGCTTTCAAAAAACAAAAACACTCGAGACACTCAACAAAGGTTCTTGAACTTGCGAAAAACATAAAAAACCAGACAACAGATTTATGGCTGTGGTTAGTGTGGGGGAATCGCTTCTTCGTTTTCTTTTGTTCAATTGTGCATGCATACATATGTAGATATATATTTGATGCCAACAACAAATTTACATAATGATCTTGATCTTGTCTGCTGATAGACAAACGAATATTTTTCCCTTTCTATGAGCCATTGTCTCTCTCTCTCTCGCTCAACTTGTCGGGCGCATTGACAAATTCTCACGTAAATTTCCATATGATTTATGGACTTATTAAAGTAGAGCAGGTCACAGCTATCCAAGGCGCTGTGGGAGCACTGCCAAAAAGCTTTCTCAACGAGCTTTTCCATTGCAGACGGATGTCAAACTGTTAATCAACATCCCACTGTTGTGGTGTGGCATGTGGCATGTGTCTGACATATGAATGTGCTATCATTCGCACTCGCATTCGCATTTAATTTGAATATTGTCTTTCCTTCTTCTTCTTTAACTTGGCACTCGCTGCGGTAGTTTCATTTATTTTCTAGCTATGCGACTTTTACTCGTGAACAACGATCGCTGACCTAAAAAGCTACAAAGCTGATACAATGTGCTCCAAGAGAGCCTCTCTCACTCACTCTCATAAGCACAAAAGCACAACAATAAAACGAAACAAACAAACATTTTGCAAGTGTCACGCAACCCACTTGTTTCATTAGCGATTGTCACTTGTATCTCTGTCTCTCTCTCTCTTTCTCTGTCGCGCGCTCCCTTGCATTGGGTGTATCAATTCCACGCTGTCCCTGCCACCGTCTGTTTTATTACAGCGGTTTTGAAGGGCGTTCGCAATAAGCGAACTTTGTGCTTGTGGGGTTAAAAATGAGGTGCGCAATGCGCAAAAGAAAGGAACGCACGTTTGGAATGTCTGCCTAATAAATATATTTAACTAATATTATCGCTTAGAGCCAACAAAAATTCAACGTTATCTAAACGCTCGACTACAGCGGAATGTAGCGAGAGAGGGTAGCTCCGAAATATTCCAAAACTAAACCAAAGATAAAATGGCAAAGAAATAAATGCAAACAAATATAAATACGTACATAAATTATAACGAAAGCAAGAACAATAAATGTTAAATACAAATAAGCAAAGCAACAACACGGCAATACAAAGAAGAAATCGATTTGCTAATGAATGAAACGAACGAAAGCCAATCCTCAAACAATACAACAACCGCAGACGTCAAGCAAACAAACCTACGGAAAGTGAAGTCGAAAGTGTAGCCACGCCTATCTGCGCGCGCGCGCCCGCTTCAGACTAGGCGCTCTCTCGGTATTGTAACAGTAAAGTGTTTCATTTCAATTGTCTCGAGTGGGAATAACGCGTCGAATGCGACGTCGCTGTTGCAATCTCCCGTTCCCGCTCTGATCATGTCCAAGACTAGCAGCAGCAGCAGCAAACACTGTCACAACAATCGCAGGCATCTGCCAGTGCCAGTGCCGTCATCCCTCGATGATAGCGGCGGCGAGTCCTTTTTGCAATATGACAGCGATAAGAAGCCACCGCCGATTGTTGTTGTTGTGGGTGATGGTCGCAGTCGAGTGCGTCGCGTGGTGCGCACAGCCACGCGACACGTGACCGTTGTCAGTCTCTCGACGCGGCACAAGGAAACCCAGACGCATACCTCGCACCATGTGACGGCCGTCAGGTAAGCGCCACCGGATACACTACGGGCAAAAGGGAAGCTCATTCAGCGCTTATCGCTGTCATTGGATCAACTGTCTACGACTATATTAATGTTTATTTATAACTGTTTTACAACGTGTTGTTATCGCTGTCTCATTGCCACTGTGATATTTGTTTAAGATTGCTTTGCAATAATACATTTGTAATACAGTCGCACTTTGCTACTCGTAGGCCGTTTTACCATTTATAACGCGTTTCAATTTCAACAGTAATAAGCGCTGCAGTGGAACCCGTTTTCAAGTGTGCAGCTGAGCGCTGCTGTTCCATTTGCATTGTGTTTCACTTTTACCAGTGCTGTGGAACTCGTTTGCCTTCTGCGTAGTGGTGAAGTTTATATTTCGTACGCACAAAAGCATTGCATATCTTTAGGCTGTAAGCGCAATGTAATGTAACGTTAATTTAAAAGATCTGTTAGCTAACATTTTGCTGACATGTGTAAAATAAGAATTTAGTTTATTAATAGAAGCCAATTAATAAATTCAGCTTGCACTTTAAATGTTTTAGATAAGATGAAAAGTTTAATCTAATCGTAATTTTTAGCAGATAATTCATATTAATATTGATAAGAGTCTATTGATATGAAAATTGTATTTCACACGAGTTGAGCCCATAATTTATTATTAATATATGTATTTGCGGTATATCATGTCTCCTACACGGGCGCCCGCTTCAGTGTGAAGCAATATGACACGCGTGTTGTGGCAGCCTGTCTAGCAGCTGTCTGTCCGATTCTCCATCTGTCTGTCTTTCTGTCTATCTGTCTGTTTGTTTGTTGTTTTTGACTGGGGCACAGTCCATAAAGTATAAGTTCTCAAAAGAACACTAATGTAAAATCAATAACAATTACGGTTGCGCTTTGGCAAAAGGCAAAAGGCGGCCGCCGTTGCGGCTCACGCCAAGCCGAGTCGCCAAGAGGCGACACTTGTTGCATACTAAGCAGGCAGCGAGGAAGTGAGTGCAGCGGCAAGAGGAAATGGCCCCGCGACCAGCAACAAATTAAAACTTTGGCTCGCGAGCAAAGCGCTGCAGAGCGTTTGTTTGTGAAGTGGCAAGCCGCATAAGATATTCAGATACAGATACAAAAACAGCTACAAACAGCTGGACTCATGTGCAACGGCAAACAACTAGGGAAGACGTGTGGCAGATGTTTCTCGCTTGGCCTCAATTTACATGGCAGGACTCTAGAGCACTTAAATCGTGGCAAGCCAAGCCGAGGCAGGCTGCGCGAAAGAGAGGCAGATAACGCATCAAGTGGCTGGCAACACTAACAACAAGCGAGCGAGTTGTTGTTGTTGTTGTTGTCAGGCAACTACCTGCCGTAAGGACAATCCGAAATGGACGCCAGGTGCATTCGAAAAGAAAATCGTATTGTACGTGTTCCTGTTTCTCTGGTTATCCTGCCAACCGGTTTCTGCTTGCTGGGTGCAAAAGGCAGCTGTTCTGCGAGCAGGTCTTGGCTTAGCTAAAGAAGCAAAGATCACTAGAAGCAACTTATTAGGCCTTCAACTGTGCACCGATTTGAAGCGCTGCCAAGGCGAAGCTATACGAAAGGCATAATCAATGATTTCAGCTTTGCAATGCAAATCGATTTAAGATTCAATTATAGACCCACTGCAACTGAGCTGCAAGAGGCAAATAGGTATTTTCTCCTTCAGTTTGATTTATATGTATACGAATCAACGAAAAGATGAGACTTTAAAACAGAGAAAAGAATTATTTATTATGATATTATACGAAAGGACTTTGCAGCTTCAATAAAAAGGGAAATCTTTATATATTTATCTTCTGTAATTTCCGCTTCTACTTGTTGCATATTTCTTTCAGTTTAAGTTACAAATTGCTGTTCGAGTGCTCAAAGAATTCCGAGCTCTGTGCTGAATGCTTCGTGTAATTCACACTTTCTAAAGCGAGGGGATCTTCGTTTGTGTTTGTCATCGTTAGCTAATCATTTCTGTAACTTTTGCTTCAGTCGAAGATCTGATCCTGATCCCTATGCCAGATGGCATTTAGTTTTCAAATCTTTCTCCCGCACCCTCTGCTGCCTCGGCGATCTCCCTCTCGTCTTTCTGCCTTTGTATAATGGATCCTTTTACGCTTAGGATATTCTCTTTGTTGTCTGTTCGTATTGTCTATGGCTTCGAAGGGATAGCAATTGTTGTGAGCGCAAACAAAACAGATGCATTTTTTTGGATGCGTAGGCAGCTGGCACACACACACACACACACACAGACACACACGCACACACACACACATGCAGCCATGCGAAACACGTTTCTGAGCTGTTGCCGTTGCTTCGAGCAGCTTGTCGAGCTCTGGCTGGACGCTCGGTTTAGTTGAAACGCGAACGTTGCTGGACGACGACGTGATCTTCCGGCTCACCCAAATGCTTGAGTGGTGCTTCCTACCTTCGGTCTAACCGAAAAAAACTGACAAAAAATAACAAGAAACACGAACAACGAAACACGAAATAAAATTTGAATAAAATTAAAAGAATTATTCGAAAACTGTTGTTATATGTGAATATTAAACGCCTATAACTGTGCCCGCTTTACATCTGTGTGTGTGTGTGTGTTTGTGTTTTCTTTAAAGACTTAAGATCGTAGAATTAGTCGAAATGATAATTTGCATTTCTGGTTTTATAATTGGCGAAAGGTATGCAGCGATCCATTGGATATATGTCTCGAATGAAAGTTCTGTTTAAAGCCTTGCAATGGCTACTTACGCAACGCTTTCTTCTTCCGAATCCTTGCAGCTTTCCCCAGAAGAGCATCGAGCGCAGTGGCTCCACACAATACGATCTGGCCGGAGCGCAAGTTGGAGCACATGGCTCCGGCTCAACCGCCGACGGCGTCGGTGGCTATGTTTATCTACAGAATCATTATGCGGGCGGCGGTCACAACTCTGCCGCGACTATCAACTATCCCGCGCCGCAGCATCCGCAGATGATCTACCAGATCCAGCAGTATCCCACGTGCCATCAGCAACAGCAGCAGCAGCAACAGCAGCAGCAGCAGCACTATATGCAAGTGCAGGCTGCACCACCGGGCAGTGGGCATTACCACCACCACAATCACCACCTGCTGCACAGCCATGGGCATCATCATCATCATGGCGGCGCCGTTGTCATCGCAGGCAGCGGCGTGGGCACCGGAGCAGGCGGAGCTGGTGCAATCGTGCTGCAGCAGCAGCAGCAGCAAAGTATGCACAAGAAGAACTCCATAAGGAACGGCGGCGATGTGCTCAAGCGCACTCGCGCCCAGTCAGCGTAAGTGTGCCTGATTGATAAATAATAACAACTAGATATAGTGGAGCAGAAAGCTGCTATCACAGCTGCTCAACAGGTGGGCAAGGGCTGGGCAGAGACACCTTAGCGAACCTAATGAGCTCGGACTTTGCTCTGCGCCGAAATCGCTTGATAACAAAAGACCTGATATCCAAGATTAGGCACTGACGCACGATAACAACCTGTGGCCAGGGGCGCATGCAATTATTTGGGAAAGCGCCTCAGCTGACAGCTGACTCTGCCATGAGGGGCAGCCAGACCGAGAGGCAACCAGCTGCAGTTGCGAGTACAGACGCGAGAAGCAAACACTTTCCAGCTGTTTTCCACTTCATAAAGAAATGATAAGGGGACACAACTATAGCTGATAGCTACGATATAAACAAAGCGCTGATTTTATTTCACTTCATTGCAGTTGGCCCTAGCAATATCTGCAGGCTAGTAAGTGACTGAAGCTGCTTTCAAATAAAAGGGAATTTTGTTTAGCTGAGCACATGTAACAATTATAAGAATGTGATTTATTCCTTAAAATACATTCGAAATTGTTCGCCTCAGCGAACTCTTTATGCTCCTTCAAATACTCTCTGAATGGGCAGCTATCATAGTAACGATTGATCTTAAATAAAAAGACTCTTTTCTAATATATCCTAGTAGTAATATATATATATAGGTCGATGTAATCTGTGCTAGGATAACAAGGCTTTTGCAAAAAGCTCTCAGATTAAAGAGCGAGATCTAGACTATAAAATTCCACAGCAGTTAAGAGTTTTATCATTAACAAATATTTGACTTCATATGCCACCAGCCAGACACACTGATAGTTAGATATGCGACCTCTTTCTTATAGTTATATGGGCTACATTTAAAACAGATTCATTCATGTGGTGGACCAATTAAAAGCGCGTAAAGCTAGTTTTATAGAGTCGCAAAAAAGGTTCGTTTGGAATTTGTTTATTACAGTTTCGGCTCGGCTATATTTTATGCTTGAATTTGAAATGAGGAATTGCCTTATCAGCGGCTGATTTTAAATGAAATCTAACTGTTAATAGGCCGCAGTCAAGACTTTTGGCTGATTTAGCAATCAGACAAGATCGAACTGGCCGAAATTAAAAATTGGGGAAACTTTTTCGCTTTTACGACAATAAGCAAATTCTGCTGGCAGCTGGCACTTGGCACGTCGTCAGCTCTCCTCTTTCATTCAGTTGGCACGGCCTGTTGTTGCTGGTGGTTGCTCGTGGCAACATTTTAATCAGGTCGACAGCTCGAGTTGTGTTTCAAAGATATATATACACACAAACAGACGCTATCTTATCAAATGGCTGCGACTTGCGGCACTTGTGCGCAATTCCCTCAGTCTAGTGACACGCCTTGGCGCAGTTTCTGCTTAACTATTATTGTAGTGCTCATTTGCTTATTGTGAAATTTGACTAATTCGATTGGAATTGCTCTGCAGCTACGAGCTATCGCAGGATCTGCTGGACAAACAGATCGAGCTGCTGGAACGCAAGTACGGCGGCGTACGGGCACGCAATGCGGCAGTCACCATACAGCGCGCCTTCCGACACTACATGATGGTCAAGAAGTTTGCCTCGATCACGGCCATGGCTAAGGCGGAGAAGCGCCTCAGTCGCCGCATGGTGGTTACCGCCTCCAGCATGACCCTGGCCGAGGAGAGCGCCTCAGCGAATGCATCGCTATCGTCTGCCTATGGCAGCGCCACAGAATCTCAGCTGGAGCAGCTGCAGCTGCAGCAGCAGCAACAGCAACATCAGCAGCAGCAGCAGCAGCAGCAGCAGCAGCAGCAACAGCAGCAGACGGGACAGCAACAGCCACGTGTGACCATAATGGCGGGTCCGCCAGGTGCCGCCTCCCCGGGACTCTCGCGAACGCCACCAACGCGTTCGCTGTCCATGCGCGAGCGCCGTCAGCTGGACTGTAGTCCCATACCACGTAGTCAGTCGGGTGAGTTTGCTTTGATTTTGATTTAGAATTTGAGTTTTGAGCCAAATCAATTGTCAATTATTATACTGCTTTCCAAAACTAAAAGAGAATCGCTAACAATCCTTTTGCAACGTAGGCGCCTCACCCGTGTCCATTGCCAGCTCCACAACCTCCATATCCGGCCTGGCCTCGCACCCGCACGTCAATCTGCTGCACGCTGCCGAACCGCATTACTACAATGCGCAGGCGATGCCGACAGCTGCTGCGTACTACACCAGCTACCACGGCTCGCCGCACGACCTGAGCTATGCCAGCTCGGCGGATACTTCGCTGAATGCCTCGTGGGTGAACACCAGTGGCCATTCGCCACACACGCCCTACTATTCGGCGGCGCAGATCTACATGCGGCCCAAAGGGGGCAGCACCACGCCGACGCCCAGCTGCGGCAGTCAAGGAAGCGGTAGCGGAAAGAAGGTGCCGCCGGAGGTGCCCAAGCGCACATCCTCCATCACCGCTCAGCAGCAGAGTCAGCTGCTGATGATGCAGCGGCAAACGCCGCCGCCCCCCTCTCTGCTGCGCACCAACGGGCTCTGCAAGACGGCTGAGAACGGGAGTCTGACGTCTGTGCAGAGCTCCGGCTCGGACTCGAGCATCACCTCGGCTGAGCGGAACATCAACAGCGACCTGGGCTCCGATCGCAGCAACTCCCCGCACACCTGGAAGCGAGGCACAGCGCTCAATAGCTCGCAGCAGTTTTCGACGCACTCAGCTGAGTCCGTTGGCGTCGCTGGACAAATGCAGGTGGTAGTGGCAGCAGCCACAGCGCCCGGCGGGGTGCCTCCCACAGATGATCATGCCATCTCCTCGCACACCAGTGCCGCCCAGTATGAGCAGCACGAGCAGCAGCAGCATGAACAGCAGCAACTGCAAGCGGCGGCCGCTGCGGCGGGCGTGCCCCCGAACTACAAGATGTCGGAGACGATACGCAAACGCCAGTATCGAGTGGGGCTGAATCTATTCAACAAGAAGCCAGAGAAGGGCATCACCTACTTGATAAGGCGCGGGTTTCTGGAGAATACGCCGCAAGGCGTCGCTCGCTTCCTAATCACGCGCAAGGGTCTCTCACGGCAAATGATTGGCGAGTATCTGGGCAATCTACAGAATCAATTCAACATGGCGGTGCTCAGCTGCTTTGCCATGGAATTGGATCTGTCCGGGCGGCAAGTGGACGTGGCACTGCGTAAATTCCAGGCCTACTTCCGCATGCCCGGCGAGGCGCAAAAGATTGAGCGATTGATGGAGATCTTCTCGCAGCGCTACTGCGAGTGCAATGCGGACATTGTGGGGCGGCTGAGGTCATCCGATACGGTAAGCCCAATGGATATACAACTGCTCGTTGCTTTACCTAACCTTCATATTGACTCATTGCAGATCTTTGTGCTGGCATTTGCCATCATTATGTTGAATACGGATCTGCATACTCCCAATCTGAAGCCGGAGCGCCGCATGCGCGTTGAGGACTTCATCAAAAATTTGCGCGGCATCGATGATTGTCATGACATTGACAAGGACATGCTGAGCGGCATTTTCGAACGTGTGAAGTCGGATGAATTCAAGCCAGGCAGCGATCATGTAACCCAAGTAATGAAGGTTCAGGCGACCATAGTGGGCAAGAAACCAAATCTGGCCCTGCCCCATCGACGCCTCGTTTGCTACTGCCGTCTGTACGAGATACCCGATGTGAACAAGAAGGAGCGACCAGGCGTCCATCAGCGAGAGGTGTTTTTGTTCAACGATCTGTTGGTCATTACCAAAATCTTTAGCAAGAAGAAAACCTCCGTGACGTACACGTTCCGCAACAGCTTTCCGCTCTGTGGTGCCGTGGTCAGCCTACTGGACTTGCCCAACTATCCGTTCTGCATTCAGCTCTCCCAGAAGGTAGACGGCAAGATCCTGATCACGTTTAATGCGCGCAACGAGCATGATCGCTGCAAGTTTGCCGAGGATCTCAAGGAATCCATCAGTGAAATGGACGAAATGGAATCGCTGCGCATAGAAGCCGAACTTGAGCGACAGAAGTCAGCGCGCAATCGCGCCACCGGCAATGCAGATAATCGTGACAGCGGTGTGGCCGATGTTGAGGTGTGTCCCTGTCCCTATCAGCCCGGCACACAGGCTGCCGGCGAGCAGGCGTCCAGCTCGACGGACTCCAATCAGCTGAAGCGTAGCGCACTCAGCAACAGTCTGCTGGACATGCACGAGCAATGTGAGTGTTACTTTTTTTGACTGTCTAATTAGTTGCTAATCTCTGTCTTCTCTCCAGTCGGTAATGAGAAGCCCCAGCGACGGGGCAGCGTCGGCTCTCTGGATAGCGGCATGAGCATCTCATTTCAGTCGACAACCACGTCGAGTGCGTCGCGAGAAAACGCTGCTGCCATCGCAGCTGCGGCCAATGCGGCTAATGCGGCTTCGAAAATTCGGTTTAACCTTCAGGCCACCACCAGCAATGTTTATGCCGCGCCTGGTATGCAGGCCTACACGCACGCCAACTTCGTGCAGCAGTCGCAAGCAGCTTACTTGCTGCAGCAACAACAAATGCTTCAACAGCAACAGGTGGCGCAGGCTCAAATGCAGGCACACGCTCAGGCACAGGCCCAGGCTCAGGCCCAAGCACAAGCTCAAGCACAAGCACAAGCTCAAGCACAGGCGCAGGCACAGGCACAGTCAGGACCTGTGGTAATGGGACGCATACCAGGACGAGAACGCAAGGCATCGCGGTCAGATGACTCGCGCTCCACAGAAGTCTAAATATGGCGCAGTATTTGTATATTCAGTTGTTCAGCAAGCGATTTAAATATATATATAGATACGCATCATACAGATATATATCCAAATCATACGAGTAGATTGATATTTGTGTGACCCAAAACGAACCGAACCGAATCGAACCGAAAGCCATTCTTTTAAACCAACAAACTTATAATACCTAACACCTAACAAAGCAGCTACAATATGAATTCTAAAATGTTCCTTCGTTCTCTGCTAATATTATTGTACATAAATTACATAAATGTCTATTAACGCGATTGAAATACGGCTTAAGTAAGTTTTCAAAACTAATTGTACATATAAAAACATTTATCAACAATTTATATATATATATTTGTCTATAACTAAATATCTATTCAAATACCCTCTATGATCAATGGTCACTCGCGTCGCGGTCAGTTAGCTAAAAACAGAAAAAATGAAGAAAAACAATTTGAATACCTTTTCAGCAGTTCCCTTTGCTAGCTAGCATACTAGCTTTTTCGTTTGTATCTTATGCCCTTTCTAACTAAAGCATTATCTGGTAAACTTAACGTAGTTCTAATTCCAAAACCAATTCACGATAAGTCGCGCTTTGTATATTACTTATTTCTTATCGCATAATTAAGTTCGTGTAACTTAAAACGATCGTACATCTATATATATATTTAAATATATATATATATACCGCGTGTGTGTGTATATACCATGAATATTAACTTAAAAGCAATTAGCTATAATTATTCATATTTATAGAGCCAAAACTACCCAAAACCTAAAATATTAAATAATAATAATAAATCGCAAAAGTGTATGAAAAACCAACCCGATATACAGTGGTTCACAGCTTATTTCAACCAGCACCTTAAAAAAAGTTTGTTGGGCTATAAAATCTAAACTATTGAGGGTATCCCGAAAATTTAAATGTAGGTTGTTAGTGTGATGCTTAAACTAATAAAAAATCAATTCATTTATTTTTTAAATATTTTTTCAATATTTAATAATGTTTAAAAACTAAAAAATGAGACCAAAACAGTTCCACAGCTTATTTCAACCACAAACTTTGCAGCTGATGAAAGATCCGTTATTTTGCAATGCAACGGTAGATTCTTGTTCTATGCTTTATTCACTGTTTTCGCATTGTGATAAAATAAATTTTTGCAGAATTTTGAAAGCTCAACTTTCAGAAAAGTGAATTTAGCAACATGGGACCACGCACACCTATTGAGCAGCGGGAACTCGTTCTCAAACACTATAAAAATGGTCATTCCCGTAGAAAAATTGCTGAGATGGTTGGATTTAGTGATTCTACAGTTCAAAGCATCATATACCGGTTTGTCCGTGAAAATAGAACCCACGATAAAGGCAGAAATGCTCCAAACAAAATTTTTAATCCCACGGACGAGCGCTATATTGTGAGAAAAATCCGGGATAACCCAAGGATATCGGCTCGACAAGTAGCCAATGATGTTAAGGAGGAGTTGGGCAAGTCATGCCACCCAGAAACTATTCGCCGTGTGCTTCGGGAACATGACTTTAATGGCAGAGTACCACGCAAGAAGCCTTTTATAAGCGACAAAAACAAGAAGTGTCGCTTAAAATTTGCCCAGGAGCACTTGCACAAGGACATTGGATTCTGGAATACTGTTTTATTTTGCGATGAGTCCAAATTTAATTTGTTTGGGTCGGATGGGCCCTCATATGTGTGGCGTAAGCCTAACACAGAGCTTGACGCAAAACATTTGAGGGCTACAGTAAAGCATGGCGGAGGCAGCCTTATGGTTTGGGCCTGTATGTCAGCAGCCGGCGTTGGGAACTTAGAGTTCATTGAGACTACGATGGATAAAGGCAAATATCTTGATATTTTGAAGTCCAATTTAATTCAAAGTGCTCAGAAACTGGGCATAAAGGAGGACTTCAGATTTTATCAAGATAATGACCCGAAACACACTGCGGGAATTGTCCAGACTTGGTTGATCTGGAAATGTCCGCACGTTATGAAACCACCAGCCCAGTCACCAGATTTAAATGTAATCGAGAATTTGTGGTCGATTTTGGAAAAAAACATTCGCAAACACAATATATCCAACAAATCGGACCTAAAAGCTGCATTGGTTGAAGAATGGGACAAAATTACTCCAGAAGTCACCAAAAAGTTGGTTGAATCTATCCCAAAAAGACTTAAAATAATAGTTAACCAAAAGGGTGGTCACACTAAGTATTAATTTCTTATTATTTTATGTTATTTTAGTGTTATATAATGTTATTTCATAAGTGGTTGAAATAAGCTGTGGAACTGTTTTGGTCTCATTTTTTAGTTTTTAAACATTTTTAAATATTGAAAAAATATTTAAAAATTAAATGAATTGATTTTATATTAGTTTAAACATCACACTAACAACCTGCATTTAAATTTTCGGGATACCCCCAATAGTTTAGATTTTATAGCCCAACAAACTTTTTTTAAGGTGCTGGTTGAAATAAGCTGTGAACCACTGTATATACATAAATATATATATATGAAAAAGAAAAGACTTAAAAATTTAAATAAATGAAAAGAAATAATACCAAAAAATTTGTTTTTTATTTAAAATATTTTTATAATATAATATAAATATGATAATCAAACGACAATTGCTCATTTTTATATACATTTCCAAGAGACAGCCAGAGTTAAGATTGAAGTAAGCCTACAGCTTGTAGATAGATGATGACAGAGCTCGATCGTGATCCGAGTTCGAAGTTATTTGACAAGCGATTTCAAATCTGAAAGATTCTAAGCCTTCACATAGCTCGCATTTTTGTAATCAAAATAAAATTAAATCGTTTCGTTTATATAAATTTGTATATTTCATATTTATTAGTGATTTCAACTTATTTTATTATTGCTGACTCTACTAATTAAGGCCTTGTACAAAATTATTGTATTTCTGTTGTAGGTGCTAAGTTCTATGTGCATTTCTTATAATGGGTAGGTGTGTGTAGAAGGGTGTGTATGCATGTGTTGTGTGTGTGTGTGTGTGTTGGTATCGTATGTAGATAGGGCTGCATTATAGGCATGTTAGTCTAATCATGTATTGCTTTAAACAAATATACAAAAACTAAAAGTTATGGGCAGGTCGAATTAAGTGGAGTTATTGAATAACTTTACAATCAAGTTGTGGGAGGGGAGGGGAGGGGAGGTGAGCGCTGATCTCTACTTACAATAAATTGCACTTGCAAACTCTGTCAGATGCATTCGGATGATTCGCGAGTGTTATGGGGTTGGGACTCAAAGTATAAACATTAAAATTAAACTAAACATATTTTGGCACTGTAAATAAAAAATTGCTTTCGATTTATAAGAAAATTCGTAAAACTCAAAAGCGAGTAGACAAAAATTAAAAAAAAATACATTTTTTCTTGTTACTGCAAAACAGAAACGAAGCATTTCGGAGCATTTCAAATAAACCATATTCGATAGTCGATAGTCGATAGTCGATAATAAATTACAGAATTTTCAAAAATTTAGTTCAAATTTTGCTTGCTGCTGCTCGTCTAAGGTTTCGCTTGATTATGCTAAGTTGAAGCGGCCTCCTGGGCCAACAGAGCTGCTCTGTTGACTAGAGGCGCCTGCACTACTCTCTATATCTTTCTCTCTGATATCTAACTAGACCATGCCAAAGTCGGTGCACACGGTGGGGGCTGTTGTTGCCGCTGCCGCCGTTGCCGTCTGGTTATTCTGTTGCTTTTCCTGCGCATTGCTGACTGCAACTGCAGCTGCCGCCGCTGCTGCCATGTTCAGCTCCACGAGCGTGTCGATACTGTTGAGGCTCACTCCTTGGAGTATTTTGCGCGCCGCTAGCGACGTAAAGTTAAAGGATAGATCCGTGAGACTGGGGAAATTGTAGAGGTCCTCGTTGCCAGCTCCCAGCACGTTGCCCATGCCATGTTGCTCTAGGGACTCCTTCGTGAGACTCAGTCGCCTATCCATGGCCTCCTTGTCGATGGCCTTGTCATTTGCATGGTCCTTCAGCGCCAGATTGGGCTCGCTGCCCAGCGGATTGCTAGACTTATGCAGCAGGTGCGCCAGCGCCAGCTCATCGCCATTCATGGTGCACTTCTGTAGCTGGCACACGGACTCATAGCAAAGATTCTTCAGATCGCTGCTGCTGTTCATGAGCTTGTGGTTGCTCTGCGACGGTGCCAGGTCCTTGGACTGTTTCTCATAGAAATGCAAGTTACCCACTGAGCCGGCTATTTCGAAGTCCTGGTTGGCCAAGGCAGCCAATTTCAGCGGGTGCTGCTGTTGCTGCTCCCCACATGGCGAGTTCGGCTGCGATTCATTCTTGAGCACGTTGTTCTTGTAGGCGATGCCATTGGCCAGCTGCAGGCACAACTTGCGGCTGTTGTTCATGGTGCCCTCGTTGTTGGTGTTCTTGGCGTACTTGCCGCCATCATAGGAGGGCGTCTCTGTTGCCGTATTTTCCGGGGAGCTCTCGCTGATGAATGAAATGGAATCGCACGTCTCCGAGTTGGCCTCCGTCTCGCTCAGCGGATGTTCTGGTACCGACTCGGGCCTAACTGGTGTGGATGTGGCCATTGGCACAGTTACAGCTGCAGCAGCTGCTGCTGTTGTCTGCTTGGAAAGTGTCTTCTTGATGATCTCGCCCTTCTCATTCGTCATGGTCTCATTGTTAATGATGAATACGTTCGAGTTCTCCAACATTTTGCCATTCTCCAAGGTGATGACGCTCCTGACCGGCGAGTTCTGCACAAAGATTTTGGTGCTGGGTATGCTTTGGCCGCCGCCACTGGAGCTGGTGGTCACCTGCAGCGTAATGGAGTTATTGCTGTTCGAATTGGGCACGCCATTAGCACTGCAACTCGTGGGGTAGCTGAGCTCCTCCAGTATGCGACTGGGCGTGCTCGCGCGTTGCCTCTGCGCTTGCGCCTGCGCTTCTGCTACGCGCGCTCTCATCGCCTGATGGCGCGGCGTGCCACGGGGCGAGCCATTTAGCAGCAGTATGGAACGCGTGCTGCCATTTGTGGTTGTGGCTGGCGCCACTACAGCCGTGTTCGTGGAGCACTGTGAGTCCAGACTAGAGTGGCCGCTGGTCTTCTGGCTGAATGAAACCTTTCCGCTGTCAATGCTGGACGGGCCGCTGGCAAGCATTGACGTCTTGCAGGACTCCAGACTGGAGGGCCCGCTGCTCTGCAGACTGCGATAGGCAGTCTTGTTGTCCGAGCAGCCATTCAGCATGATTAGCCCATCCGCCTGCCGTTTGCCCGACGACGTGGACTTCAGCGTTGAGGAGCGAGCCGGTGAGCTCTCGAAGATGTGCTTGCCAATAACTGACT